CAGGAAGAAGAGAGATACTGCATATCACAGTTGATGAACACCAAGCAGGAGGACATGATGCGGAGCTAAAGAGTGAGTTGTGCAGGCCTTGAGTGCCAACCTAAGCCTTGATCAGCGCTTCTGAGTGGAGGAGGATGGTGAACCGGGTTCCCCTTTGAGAAGATAATCTTGGCAGCCAGGAAAGAGGGAGAAGATGGAGGAAAGCAGCTGGTGCTTTCCCTCCAGCTGGGAGGTGAGATCTGGGCCTCCCCTTATCTCTGGGGCTTTGCCTGGACTCCTGGAATTTTGCTTGAGGTCCTGCTTCTCTGATCTCTTCCCCAGGCCCATGGGTACCAGGTTGCTAAGCATTTGGGGCCTGGCTGTGTTAATGAGCAGCATCCTGCCATACCAGCCAACCAGGCTGGGAGAGAACTTCCTCAACCCAGCTGCTCGTGTCCTGGAAAGAAGCCCAACTTGGTTCAGAGACAGGTAAGGGGGAGAGGCAGCCAAGGGGCCGGTGCTGGCCTCCTGGCCTGGCTGTCGTCCTGGGGACTGGGAGTTCGGGAGCAGTACAGGCTTCCAGCCAGGCAGACACCCAAATCACAGAGACCAAGGTCTAGCTCAAGTGGACGGACTTGGTGCCCTTGGATTCTGTAGCCCTCCTCCCAACAATCCCGCCACATGGAATTCTGCACCCCACCGGCCCCAGCATTGATGTTCTATGGTCCACAGCCCTCGAGCTTGCAGACCGCACTTCTAGAATGGAAACTCAGGAGAATAAAGTCAGCTAAGGCAAAGACCCAGCTGCTCTTCCCCATCCCCAGCACTACTGCTTCAAGGGAGAGACCACAGCCCCCAGAAGCGGAATGGACAGGGGGCTGCTCTCTGGAAATGGGAGCAAGCCCACCCTGGAGGCTCCATTAGTGTTCGGGAGGACCGAGAGCAAAGGAGCCGTGTGGAGTTTGTCCAACACAGCAGCGCTTTGGGGAGACTGGAGACAAATAAGGCCATTCTGGCTACTTGAGAGCTTGGGGTCTGGTGAGGGGAAGCCAGATACTAAGAAATGATTACATCCCTGAATCAGGGGAAGGCAATTGCGTGTCTGGGAGACACGTCTTCCTGGAGAAGGGACGGGCCCGCTGGGCTTTGAAGGCTGAGTAAGAGGTCACAAGCAGACAGCGTGGGGAAGCACCAGCTCATGTCAAGACACACTTAGGAAAGCCACAGTGTCTTCTGCTGGAGGGGACGAGGCACTTCCCTGTTGGGACATGGGCAACCAGTCTAGTCGTAGAGTCACGGGAAAGAGGTCAGGAGGAGGAAAGGGTAGATGTGGATCGGAACAGCATGGAGATTAGACTTAGCTTTGGATTTGGAAACAGGTGACAGGGATGTTTAGCTGTTGTCAGTCTAGGCAGCACCCTGAGGAGCCCATGGGCAGTGCTGCGTTATCTCCCTGGGGCCCAGACCAGGCCTGCGAGGGGCGGAGGAACCTGAGGCTCAGAGGGCGGAAGTGAGTGCCCCAGCTCGCACACCTGGCGAGGGGCCCGGCAAGAGCTGGCACAGAGGGACGGCCAAGTTCAACTGTGGGAGTCAAGACAGGCCTCAGATGCCTGCTGCACCCTGGCTCTGCCGTCTCAGAGAGCCCTGACTCCTCATGTAGCTTCCATTTCTGTCAGCAAGTGCAAAGGACAGTATGTAACTCAGGAGGCTCCTGCAGCCACAAGCAAGACACTCTGTGGGAAGCCCCTGCTCTACTCCAGGCCCATTGGCTAGGGCCACAGATGTTATTAGGATGATGACCAGTTCAAGGTGGGGTTAAACTTAGCAGGACTCAGGTTCCAGGTGGGAATGTCCTTCTTTCTGAGTTCCCCCTTGCATTTGAGCTCCCTGGTGGACTTGAATTTGCAGAAGGGGTTTGTGCTTCTAACAAGGAACCACAGTGGTCTAGTCCCTGTGGACTCTAGTGACCACGGCCTTGAGATTTATCTTTGCAGATAATCCTCAGTTCTCCCAGGCACAGCCTACAGGAGCATTTCAGTCTGAACAACCAGCCTAAACTATACCACTGTCTACCACTCAGTCCCCCCACCCACCCAAAAGATGCTGCCTACTCAGAAAAGCCCAGGTAGGAGGTCAATGGCAGATATAGAAACCAAGGGGAAGAAACAACTCGGTTTCAAAACAGGCAGAGGACTCCACTAGACACTTCTCCCAAGAAGACACAAAATGCAAATTACTAACAAGAACTTGACCAACGACTGTTGCTCATGATCAGGGAAGTGCAAATCAAAACCACAGAGAAATCCCTCTCTGAGCCCATTGGCATGACTGTTTCAAAAACAAAGGAACAGAAGATCACAAGCCTCGGTGAGGAGGTATGAAACGGACCCCTGTGCGTTCCTGATGGCAGCRTAAACCAATGCTGCCGGGGAAGATGGCAGAAAACAATTAGGCATAGATTTACCATGTGACCCAGCAACTCCTCCTCCAGGTACAGACCCCAAAGGATTGAAAGCAAGAATTGGAGCAGATGCCTGCACCCCCATGTTCACAGCATCTTTTGCCTAACAGTCAAAAGATGGAAACCATCAGCCAGTGAATGTATAAAGAACAGACAATGGAATATTATTCAACCATGAAGAGGAAGGGAATTCTGGCACTCGACGTGAACTAAGCAGACACAGAAGGACAAATGTCCTCTGGTCCCCTGTTTGAGCAGCACCTGGAGTAGTCAAACTCACGGAGACAGGAAGTGGCAGGGTCTTTGCCAGGGGCTGGGGGAGGGATATTGGGATTATTATTTAATGGATCCAGACAGAGTTTCAGTTTAAGAAGAGCAAATGAGATGAACGTTGGAGAGGGCTGAACCATGATGTGAATGTATTCAAACCACTTCACTGTAGACTTCAATGGTGGAAATGTTAAAAATTCATGTTATGTATATATTACTACAATTGTTTTAAAAAGACACACCATGTGGGAAGAAGCAGGCACAGCAGGTCAGGGGGAGACAGCTTGGTCTCCCGGGGCCAGGCTTGCCCCTGCGACTGCAGGAGTGGACACACCCAGAGGCCTGAGCTCCAGCTCCACCCTCAGGGTGGGCCTGGGGCAGGTCTGCCTCGCTGGGATATCCGGAAGCTGTCTGGCTCACAGATTTCCTCCAGCTCTGCCTTCTGGGCTCTGCCTTATTAGGAAGGCTTGGATGGTGCAGAGGAGGAGGTAAAGGGAACAGAAAACCAGACCTTCACCACACACTGGACATTCCAGGGAGGCCACAGGACCCTTTGACTTGGCAAGGAATCAGCCTCACAGGAATCATGACATCAGTGAGGGTCCTCGTTGCAGATCCTGCCCTCAAACTGGGTCAGTGAGGACAGTGGAGTAAAGAGTCCACTTACAAAGAGATAGACAAGGCCAAGGGAACCAAAGGACAGGGTTGTACAGCGGCTTGCAACAGCAAGAGCCTTAGTGCCACAGTGCTTACAGGAACCCTGAGAGAGTCCGTGTAGAGAAGGTCACCTTAGGTAAGGACAGTCCTGCAGGAAGGGAGCCGGGGAGGGGGGAGGGGTACCCAGACCTCTCTCTCTCCATGCCAGGGCCTCCCAGTAGCCAAGTCCAACAGGAAGCCAGAGGACAGGGAGCGTGGTAAGGCGCATTCAGGCCACTGCAGCCAGAGCAGTGTGGCAAAGGCTGACAGGGAAGTCCCAGGAGCAAATGAGTGGGGGTCAGGGGGTGGTGGTGAATCCAAGTGAATCACCACCACTCTGCACTTGGCCTGACAGGGTGGCTAGGAAGCGTTCCCCTTGGCTAGTCCCCACCCTTTTTCAATGGCTGATCTTGGAGGTGCTAGGGAAGGAGCCTTGGGCTCTTTCAGGCATGAAGGGAGAGATGCTGTTTTGTTGAAGAGCCTCCACTTACTGACAGAGAGCAGTGGCTGGGCCTGAGCTTCCCACCCATGCACTGTGTTCTCATTCACTCACTCGGCCAGCTTCTCTGGAAACCGTGAGTGCCCAGACAGTGTTGGGAGCCACTAGAAAAAGAAGCACGGAGCAGCCCACCAGCAGCATCCCTCACCCTGGCAGTTGTGCCTGGAGTCGGGCAGCCCTGGGCTTCGCCTGCCAGCTCCCAGGCTGTGGGTTGCACCCTCTGAGAAATCGGATCAATTACCTCCCCCTCCCCACTAGTTGTCTTAAGGATGCTGAGTAAAATTCTCTGAAAAGCACTGGGTGCAGAGCTCCTGATGCAGAGTCAGAACTGGGGGGGGGGGGGGAGACACGTAGTGCCTTGTTAAGCATCCCCTGGTTGGCTCAAGTTCACCCATCTGCCCTTCTGTGCTATTTTCTTTGGGATGATGTTGTAGTGAGTTTGTTTCCGTTTTCCTCTTCCTCTCTCCCCACCTCCCAGACCTGGAAGACCCAGTCAGGAGCCTCTAACTCCTCCCTGCCACCCCAGGGCTTGGAGGGGGCTCACAGTGACCAACATTCATTCGATGGCTGGATCCTTTCCCATGGCTCGCTCGCGTGCATTCGAGTTCGAGAAAAGCCCGACTGGTAAACGCAATGCTGGGCCCATTTTACGGATGAGGAAACCCAGCCCAGGAGGCAAAGAGCCGGCGCGGGGATGGAACCCGGGAGTCAGGTTCTCCGAGCCGGCCCAGCACTGGGCCGGAGCGAGCGAGTGCGGGAACGAGTCCCGGGGCACTCAAAAAACGGACGGCGGGGGCCAGTCCCCACCGCCCGGGGCGCGAGTGCCGCGCGCCGGGACAAAGGCCGGGCGGGGGCCGGGCGGGGGCCGGACTGGGGCCGGACGCGCGGGGACCTTTAAGGGGCGGTCCCGGGGCGGGGCCTCTCTAGGGGCGGGGCCTTCCGGGGGCGGGGCCTGGACTGCGGGCGGCTGGAGAGCGCGCGGAACGAAGGGCGGCGGCGGCTCGTGCTCGGCGCGGGCTCCGGATCGCGCTCGTCCCCGCTCCCGGCTCCCGGCTCYGGTCCCTCAGCCCGCCCCGGCCCCGCGGAGCAGCGGCCATGCCGCCGCGGCGCAGCATCGTGGAGGTGAAAGTGCTGGACGTGCAGAAGCGGCGGGTGCCCAACAAGCATTATGTGAGTGCGGCGCGGCCCCCACGCCCCCTCGAGCCCCTGGCGCCCAGGGCCAGCGAGAGCCCCGGCCCGGGGACGCCCGCCCGCCCGCCTCGTGCCTGGTCCCGCGCCGCCAGCCCGACCCCGCTCCCCTCCCCCTCGCCTGCTGGCCCCGTCCCCTCCTCCTCCCTTCCTCCCGCCTGGTCCCCTGCTCCCCTGCTCCCCTCTGCCGCTCCCCTTCCCCTTTCCGTCTCCCCCAGCCCTGCAGCTCTGGTGCTGCCCATCCGTGAAAAAGTCCGGCCCCAGCCGGTGTAGGGGACAGAGAGGAAAAGGAAGAGAGACAGAAGCGCCTGCTCGCGGGTCGCCCCTCATTGTCCAGAGGTACCTGACCCGCAGTGCCCAGCCAACAGGTAGCCCCTCTGAGCATGGCCAGGTTTGGCCCGTCCTTTTGGGACAGCCAGCCTGAGCGAGCTAGATCTCTGGGAATGGATCATTGGAGTCACCCCCCCCCCATAACTTCCGTGTAAAACTGTAGGAAAGTTTTCTCTGGGAATCTCTCTCTGTGAAATGAGAGTCCTGTTTGGAGCTGGCGAGGACTAGAGAAAATGGGCCAGTAGTGTCCTTTTGCAGATGGGAAGGGTGAGGCTCTGAGGCTGCAGGTTCCAAATCAGAGCTGTGTTCAGGCCTTCCCTCCTTCTGGAAGGTGAGCTTGGGGCTCCTGGTGACCTGCAGGTGGAAAGAGGCCATGCCTGGGTCCAGGTAGCCCTGAGACCACCTCTGAGCTTCTGGGTGGAGAGATGATAGGTGGAGAGGAGGTCTTGGGGAAGGCCTCCCTCCAGGAGGAAGGGGCTGTGGTGTCTCAGGGGGTGAAAAGTGGGCAGCAGAGAAGTTAACCAGGAAGGGGAAAAAAAGCAAGAGGGAGGGAAAGAATCCTAACAAAGAAGTGGAGAACAATGACTAGAAAAGGGCGTTGGCTGTCTAAATTTGGCTCTTGGGCCTCCCTGGAAGCCCTCTTTGCATCTATTTTTTAAAGAGACTCATCCTTACAAAGCAGAGCTACATGCCTTCCATGAATAGCCTATAAAATTCTGGAGATAGTGGGGAATCCACTGTGCAGTCTACAAGAAAGGGCGTGCTGTGCGGGTCTGTATTGTTATTGGCTGGGCAGCCAGCTATTCAGCCCTCAGCTGGGCGGTGGGAAGCTATTTCCTGGACCTGTGGCATCTTTAAATAGAGTGAAGTTTCCCTCGATCCAAGCTGAGCTAAATTGTCTCCCCCCCACACCAACCTTTTTTTTTTTTTTTTTTTAACTGCTTCAAGTGCTGCCAAATCTTGGTTTCTTGTTGGAGCCTGTTGAGTGTGTTAACTGAGTTGCCTTTTTGGTATGAAGATAGTTTTCACCAACATGGCAACAGAAGAAGTCTGGAATTCTCCATGCTGCCTCCCCCCCAGATCTGTGAGCTAGTCGAAGGGAATAGATACAGCCACTGAGGACTGGGCGTCATCATCCTCCCTCCTGTCCTCTCCTTTCACATGCATCAAGAGACAGTTCTCATGCCCCCTTGACAGATGAGGAAACCAAGGTTCACAAAGTTGAGGTTCTGTGCCTGAGGTCACAGTCAGGAGCAGAGCAAATATGTCGATCCAGGTCTGTTGGGCTCCCAAATTGCTGTCCTATCAGATCACACAGCCTCCCAGATCCCAAATCCCCACACTTTCCCTGGGCAAAGTCCACTTGAAAACTGGGAAATCGGCCATGTCATTTGTGATCAGCCAGAAGTCCTTCATTCTCTGCTCCAGCAGATGCCTTCTTGCTACACTTTTTTTTGAAGGGTTTGCAGGTTTGGGGGCATCTTGCTAAGCTCTCAGCCACTCTTTAGGGGTCCCTTGCAGCGAGTCTGTGTTCCCACGTTTATTGGCTCAGATCTTGGTCTCCCAGCTTGCTGTGTGTGCTCTGCGCCTCGGTTTCCTCATCCATAAGATGGGGACGATGGTGCCCTCTTCCAGGGTAGCCACCCTGTGACTGGCAGGAATGGAGTTCCTTAGCTCCCTGCAGCCTGCCTGCCGCATGGTGGCCACGTCACTGTGCTTGGGAGCATGCCGAAGTCACACGGGGGAGGGGAGTCCACCAGGGACTTGTTTCTCTGCATGTGGTTTTAGTCACTGGTGTGATTCAAGGGGCCAGCTCCCTTCTGGCCAGCGTGTGGGGGCGACGTGGCTGAGCTGAAGCTGAGGCATCTGCAGGGATAGAGAGTTTGTTGCCATGAGAGCAAGGGGTTCAGACCTGGAGGGACTGGAGCACCACCACCCCGGTTCCTGAAGCCTGCCCCCATCCCCACCCTGGAAGGAGCCGGTGAGGGAACAGCTATTAGAAGGCTTGGACTTGGGCTCCCATTTAGTGTTCCCCAGCGTGAGCTGGGGGCTGGGCAGTCCTGGTCTCCACCACTTCCTGCTGTGTGACTTTGCATGGTCAGTTTGCCTCTCTGAGCCCTGGCTTTCATGATCTGCAGATTGTGAATACTGCTGGTTTCCTCTGGGACCAAGTTTCTCGACCTTAGCACTGCTGACCTTTGGTCCAGGTCATTTTTTGTTGTGGGGCTGTCCCTGGCATGAAGGGTGTTTAGCCGCAGCCCTGACCTTACCTCCACTCACCAGGCCCCACTTCTTCAAACTTCCACCCGCCCCATGCGGTCACGCTGGTATGAATTTCCACCACAGGAACCCCTGGGGGACACTCTACCTCCAAACCTCAGTAAGGAGCGTCTGTCAACAGAATATGCAGAGCAGTTTCAGAGTGTCCAGTCGCCACACCCCCGGTCCCCCTTCCTGTCCCCCCATTTGCAGCTACCTCAGCCACCATCTGCTCATCAGCAGTCACCTGGGAGGGCAGGTCGTGGTGCTGCAGATGTCATTAGAGAGCATGCCTGGAGCTCAGGTCTGGCCACAAGGGCTAGCCACCTGTTCTGCCCCAAGTGGCATCTTCCCCGTGTCAGGATGGCATCCTCTCCAGCCCCAGCCTGGCCTGCTGCACCTGTGGGCAGAGGCTGCCTCAGTGTGCCCAGGGCTACAGGCCAGGTGTGGGAAATGCAGGGGTTGACACTCCCGGGGGGCCTCTGAGACCCCAGCAGTGAGGCTGAATTGACGACAGTTTTGTTTGAGGAGGGCTCCCCTGGAGCTGTGGCCTGCTGCTTCTCTGCCCACACCTGCCCTGCCTGCCCCAGAGCCCCAGGGTCTGAGAATGAATGGGAAGGGGGCATCTGAGTGTGGCATCCTCTGGAGACCCCGATTGTGCCCTTCCAGCTCAGGGAGGAGGAGGACTGTGGGACTGGGTTGTCTGGGTTACCGGTCTCCGGCACTGGCAGGTACCTGGGGGCATTTGGTTCAGCGGAGTCTGGTCTGCGGGGCCAGGAGAGGCTGCCTGCTCTGCACGGGAGCCTTCAGGTCACAGGGAGCAGGACGGGTCATCCTCCTTCAGCTATCAGCTGAAGTGTACCCACTGCTGTGGCCAGGCACCGATGAAGCTGCCTCTGTGCTCGGTGGTCACCATGGCCCTTTAAACTGGGTGTGTTTTATTATATGAATCCAGTGCTTCAAATACATAGAACAGAGACCAAAGTCAACACAGGTCAATAGCCTTCACTCCTCCTCTTGGCCAGAGCGCGACGTTTCCCATGTACGCTGCAGATCCGTTTTACTTTTTAATAAATAAATCATTAAACTGGACATGGTGGTGCACATCTGTAATCCCAGCTAYTCAGGAGGCTGAGGCCAGAGGATTGCAAGTTCAAGGCCAGTGTCAGCAACTTAGTGAGGCCCTAAGCAGTTCAGCAAGGCCCTGGATGAAAATAAGAAATATAAAGGGCTGGGGCTGGGGCTCAGTGGTTAAACGCTCCTGGGTTCAATCCTCAGTACCCCAAAATATACACAGGTAGAGACCAACAGACAGGATCTTTCTTAACAGCTTTATTGAGGTCTCATTTATCTGCCACAAGAAGAACTCACTGATCTTTTTCGTGGGTTTCTAGAGCTCAGTAGCCATCACCACAATCTGGACATTCCCATCACCAGCCTCCCCAGGTGCCTCTTGCCCCTGCAGGAGCCCCTCCGCCCAGCTTGCGACAGTGTCTTTGCCTCCGACCTGCCGCCACCTCAGATTGTCCCGAAAGTTTCAAACCATGAGAGAGCAGCTGGCTTTGAGAGCTGTGTTGGCCTCGCTGTCCTCGGCTGCCGCTGGAAAACGAGGCTCCAGAGCTGTCCCCTCCTCTGCCCCTGTGCCCTAGCAGCCAGCCTGGGGCTTCCTCGAGCCTGTTCAGGGACCTGCTGGGGCCTGGGCTCTATGTGTGACCGTGTCTGCTTCACCCTGAGCCATCAGATGTCTCAGGTCACACAGTCTGCTCCGTCCTCACACCTGCATCAGTCATGTCAGTCCTCTTCTGTGAATTGCCCCATGTCACCCTTCTCCCCTTTGCCAGTGTGGTTTGTTACTTTCTTCTCTAGTTTTGAAGGATCTATTTATATATCAGGATTCTAATCTTTCAGGTAGTTTCATTAGGGTTCTTTCTTTCCCCTAAGGAACTGGGGGCTCAGAGAGATAGAGGCACATGCCTGAGGTCACACAGCACGGAGTGGCTGCAAGGGAACTGAGCTGGATGCCTTTGTGTTGGTGGAGACAGAGCAGCCCTGCCATCCCACCACCCAGCCAAGTGACCGTGGGTGGCTCACTTTTGCTACTTGGCCCCAGTTCTCCCTTATGTGAGATGTCAGAGCCACCCTGGGCCCTTCCCTGATCCCCCAGTACCTCCAGCCTAGAGAGACGCAGTGAGCGTCACCACCAGCCTCAGTCACCCTCACCCGGGAGCTCTGGGTGAGTGGTGGCCTGGGGCGCCAGGTGGGCCCGGCCTGTGAAAGCTCCCTCCTTGGTTAACCAGGCTCTGGGAGGCTGCAATCACCGTGCCACACAGTGGCCTCCCAGGCAGATCTGCGTGTTCGGCTTTCCCGTCCCTGTCCCCGTCCCTGTCCCCGCC